CAAACGTACGACCTGGTCCGTAATATGCAAATCGAGATGGGCCAGCAATTTGCTTTGATGAGGGAGATTCTTTCCCATCTACCTCCACCGCCACCTTCAGATTGATCAAGGGAGTTCTCAGTTCCTTTCGTGCCCTCCTTTTTACATTTTATTCCCTCTTGTGGTACATTGAGGACAATGCACCTGTTAAGTTTGGGGATGATTTAATATTTTATCTTCATGTTTATATTTTATCTTGATGTTTACTTCTTTCGCATGATTTGTGTGTTTTTTTTAAAATGTTTTTACCTTTTGTGTGTTGTTTTTAACTTTTGTGTGCTTGTGTGGTTGGATGACCTTGCTGGCAATGATGCATATATTGAAACTGTGTAATTAAATAAGAACCGTGGAAGAATTATATGTTGAGTTAGTTGACACTTGTTGATGTGAAACTTGATCTCTATTGAGCACAATATTCATGTTCTGCATTGTGAGTTGATGACTTGGTTTGTATAAGGAAAAAGTTGAACATAGTTGATTCAAACCCGAACCAACACAAATAAATAAGACCATAAAACCTCTTTTAGGAAAATTTGGAAATGATTAAACTAGTATAGAGAAACATTGAGATAAGTAAGGATTCCATGTGTGAAATGATTGTGTGGATTATCTAAAGCCAATAAGATGAATTGAGACGAAAACCTCGAGTTAGGGGTTCAATTTCGAGAATAGGTGTTTAATAAGGGACATTGCACTAATTTTGGCAATTAAAAGAAGTAAAAAGAACTTCTCTTCGGAGCCTTTTTGACTCGAGCAATTAAGCCTGCAAGGGTCCTTAAAACCTGGTGCCCTATGGTCATCTGACTTGGGAGTCATCGGCTAAAAACTCGCTACAGGGGTCACTTAGTCGCTTAATGGAGAGAAGTATATAAAAAATATATATATTTTTTTAAAAAAAATTCGGAATGAGCAGGTGCATGAAACAGAAGACTTACCAACTGCCAAGATTAAGCATCGAACAACTATTTTAGGAACTTATACCTTTGACAATGGGTCATTAGCTCAATTGAGTCTTAGAAGCCGAAGTAATAAAAAATATGGGAGAATCCTTATTAGTTGAAATGGGAATCTATATTAGCTAAGATCTATCCAAACGAGAGAGGGTAAGGATCAGAATTAGCTAAAAGTCAACCTTAGTGCATACCTCGGGAAAAGTGAGTAAAAAACATAAGTTTGGGGGTGTGTATCTTATGAGTGAGGAAAGGAAATAATTGACTACTGCAGGTTGGGAATCAAACCAGTTATTAGTGTTGTGATGTTTACATGAATATTCACACACACACTTTAAGTTTCACATTGAATAAGGGGAGATTAATTTCAAATGTGTAATTTGGACACTTTTCAAAGTAATGACACAATTATCCAATCCTGAGACTAACAGCATACCATCTAACCAAAGTTTAATTGGATCGAGCTATAAATTGTTTGAGGGCAAACAAATATTCAAGTTTGGGGGTGTTTGATAAGTGTATTTTATACACTTATTTAGGCCATTAAAATTGAGTAATTGTTGATGAATTTGATGGAATATGGCTTAATCCTATTTATATATTGTGTGTAGGTTACAATCAATGGAAGATACGAGAATAAAGAAAAAAAAACGACTCAATTACATCAAGGGCAAAGTTTGGAGACTAGGATGCAATAATCCAAAAGTTGATTTGGATCAGAGAATGATGAGTTGAGAACACCAAGAGTCAATTGGAGTTGAAGAGAAGCTAACGGAACAAGAAATTTTGGGAAAGGACCAAAACACACACTTCAAAAAGTTTAGGGACCAAATTGCAAATTGGCCCCTAAAATAATTGAACTGTGCGTACGCATAGGCTTGCAGGTCTTCCTTACGCACGATTGGAAAATTTAACTTCTGAAACTGTGCGTACGCATCAAATGAACCATGCGTACGCATGGTTCAATCCTGACAAAAAAATTCTGTTTCCGTATTTTGTTTTGGAAAGTCTTGGTTTGCAATTCTTTACACGATATTTATACCAAAAGTCGACAAAAACATGAGGAACCTAATTTTTATCATCTTGGAAGCCGACAGAGAGGAAAAAGAGAGTGGGATATACATTGAAGAACAAGACTTCATCACTTGGATCCGAAATTGATGGCATAAAATGAAAGATTTTAGATTCTTTTCGTACTTTAATGATTCCGGTGATGTCGTTCTTTTATTTTTCCTGTTTTTCCTACCTTTATATGCTAGGCTAAATATCTTTGTATTGGATGGATGACAAAACTGATTAACTCTTAGTTTTTAATTCAAGACCTTATGTTTTTATCTTAATTCTTGTATTGTGCTTTCTTTAATATGCATATCTATATTGTTTTAATGTTTGTGCACCATTAGGACAATAAATTGCTTATTCTTAGTGTTGGAAAACTCGCGATAGGTAGAACACTGTTATTGGAATGCATGAACAATGAATGTTAGGAATAATATTTGTGACGTATGCGATCATGTGTGATAATCCTATATATCAATGCGTATTTGCCATATGAATTCGGACTAGGAATATGATCGTCTTGTGGTAATCATAGATTTATTATATATTGGGAAAGAATAATAAATAAATGTGGAATTATCGATCGTCACAATTGCATGAGTTGAGATAATTGTCATAAGTTGAGAATTAGAACTAAGAGTTAATCAGTGGCGTCAGAAATCCAATACATTCACTTATCTGAATTCTAAAACAAATTTTCAACAAGTTTTTGCAAGTTTTGATTATAAAACTTAATTAGCTATTTAAACAAACATCAACTTTTAGTTAATCACACGAATTTAATTATATTGAATACACTGAAATTAAACATTATTCCCCGTGGGACGATAACTCTTTCATCACAATTATTACTTGTGCAACGAACCCGTACACTAGCGGGATTTTGACGAACAAACAACGTAAACAATTTTTGCCTAAACAAGGGGTTGGCCATTATTGATTAAAAAGCATAGAGCTTCGTTACACTATAGTTCTATGGTTATGGATATTATTATTCAAGGTTATGATATATATATATATTTTTATTTTTAAAAAGGCTAAAATGGTGGAAGGTTAAAATTTTTACCCTATATCCTTTTTGTTAAGAATAATGTTATTTGCAGTCACTCACAATCGTAATCGTTCTATGTAATATACATATGTCACGTAAAAACAACCGCAAATAATATTACTCTTTTGTTAAATAGACTTGACCTTCTATCCACAGTAGACAGGATAAAATTTGCCTACCACCAACGGATCAAATCGCTTTTTTTTGACAAATCAAAAAAGAAAAAGGTTTGATCTGCTAACGTGACAATGCCTTATCGACGGGTGCGCAACATAACTCCTACCCTAGATCAATTCTATTTCCTTCAAATGTTCCCAATGTACTGTACCATTTTTTTCGTTTTATTCTTTTATTCTCAATCTTCTATTTACATTCAAACTCATTTTTATTCCGACCCCAAATCCCATTCCACACCAAACCCTAACAAACCAACACCATTGCTGCTGTCGACCACAATCTTGACCAGGTCCACTGGCATCACCATAACCATCACCTTCTTCTAGACAAGTCACCACCACTTTCTCCTTCACACTGCCACCCACCACCACCTTCTCTTTCCACCATCGCCCTCACTTTTTCAATGGATTGCATATATGATTCCATATCAGGGAGAAATATTGGTATTTGAAATCATAAATGGAGAAATATTGGTTTTTGAATCTCGACGGTGAACGTTTCCAGAATTCGTTCACATTTTCATATGTGAAATTTAATTTCTTTGAATTTTTTCATACTCGTTGGATGCTTTATTTGTTTTTGTTTGTTTATGGATTGATTTAATTTTGAGTGTTTGTGTTGGTGGTTTGTAATGGTGGCAGCAACGGCTTACAAGTGTTACCCTTCGTATTTTACAATTCTAATATTTCACCGGTGGTAGTGAAAATTGATGGCAATGGATATGTGCCACTACTTGTTACAAGTATTCCACTTTGTGTAAAAATTTAATTAAATGGTTAACAATAGTGACTTTGTGTTACAATTATTAAATTGTTACAAAAAGAATAACAACAATTATTACAGATGTGTGACTTTGAGAAATAAAATAATTTGGAAACTATAGTGAAAAATAGTTTTTTATTTTTTTACTATTTTATTTTAGGTAGAGTGTGACACTTTCACTAAAAATATAAGATGAAATTGGACCCTTCATTGATTCTAAAGCTTAAGATTGAAAAAATATCCTTTTCTTCGTTTATTTGAAAAATGAATTTTGCTACTTTGCCCAAATTTTTTTGTCCTAATGGTTGACATCTTCTCACATGTCGTGGGTCCCGTGTGAATAAAAATTTCAAAAAATAAGTGGGGCCCTTGCCATTGTGAGAGTTGATCACCCTCTTTGTCAAAAAAATTTGAGCACTGTAGTGAGATTGTTGAAAGATAGTGCTGGTAAAAGAGGCAAAATATATGTACCTCCTTTATATTGAATCAAATGAAAATCTCATACTCCTTTTAGCAAAGTCAAATATTAATTTCCATCACACATTCATAAATTACTACTAACTAGTATTCACATATTTTGTAAGATCCACTACTATTTCTCTTTATAAACAATTTATAAAATTTCCGAACAAAGGCATATGTATTATTTATTTTACCATATTTATGCAATAAAAGTGCAATCTTGAGAGCTTTTGTTTTTTTTTTATTTTTTTAAATTCTACTTGTCAAGTTTATCTGGTGACAGTAATTTTGTCAATTTCAGATAATTTTCATAAGCGCTTGCCGTTTTATAGTTATTGAGTTTTGAGTTCATAGAGTTAGTTACAAAAATTCCTTAAAAAGAAAAACAATCGAAAGCACAATTTTGAGGACCCAAATTTTAGAGTTCGATTTAAGTATGAAAAATCTCAAGTTCGGCCCTGAACACTAGCTACATTTAAACACCAATAAGAAGTGAATTGTCAGAGAGAATAATCAATGTTGAATGAATGTGTAGGAAAACGTCTTCACTGTTATTACACCAATATGCAGATGCGATAATTATTTTATCCGTCTGATATTATCTGATGCAGTGCACTCGAAATTACAAAAATGATCAAAATATCGTCTTTCGATTTGAAAATATCAAAACAAATATTCACCGTACTTTTTTTCTTCATTTTTTTGATGCTATTTTTGTATAATATGATGGAAACTTCATTCACAACCAGGAGGGATAGGTTTTCCTTTTAAGACAAATTTTGCATTGGCACAAACAGATTTAAGAGAACCAGCTGCACCAGAAGGCGCTAAATCAATATCAGCCAATTCAACATCTTCACAAGGAACTGCTTCGCTGCAGTTTAGTGCTACTGGAATTTCTGAAACTGTCGTTCCCTTTATGTTTACGAAGTGAACGCCGCTGATCTTCACCTTTGATTGCTGCCAAAAAAAAAAAAAATAATAAATAAATAAAATTCACGATACAGTTAAATATCGTATAAACAGATATATTGAAGATTTATCAAACCATAACGGGTACCTCGGGTTTTTTCTTGGAGTCGTAATGCTGATCTATGAGGATGGGGTTTTTAACATCAGTCACTATTATATCTTTGTAAAGAATGTCGGAAGCTTGGATTGATGGAGATGCATGGTAGGTTTTGATTCTTGCACCGTTTGTAGTTCCTGTAAGTGTGCAGTTGATGACACTAATTCCCTTCACATCTGTTTCATCTGGGCGCTTTCCAAGGCTACCAACACTGACATAAAAACTTTATATAATGAGTATTTAAACGACCCATCTCGTATATTTTCATCCCGTCTAAAAGTAATTATGGGATGGGCTACTGGTCCTGACCTGATGCCGTGTCCAGGGCCACAAGTGATTCCGGAGACGAGAATGTCGGTGGTGCCATGACCAATGGAGACACAGTCGTCACCGGTTCCGATGATGGAGTCGGTGACATTGACATTAGTAGAACAACTTATGTGCATGCCGTCCGTGTTAGGGCTGTCGCCGGGGGCAGATATTTTGAGTTTTGATATTTTAATGTTTTCACTGTCAGCGACCTTAGAATGGAAACCCATGCTGTCGACGAAATTCACGTCGTGCATTTCGGAGTTTTTTACCTTCTTAAACGTAAGAGACTGCACCAAAAAATTGTGCACTCGTCACGCCTTATATGAAAAATTGTAATCAGCATGCACGTGAGTAGAAGAAATCCACGATAAACTTTTTGGTGACGTGATTCAGAAAGGTGGTCTTACCACTGGTAGAAGAGGGCCTTCATTATTGGCACCAGCGAACTGCCACGAAGATTTTCCCCGGCCATTAATGGTTCCTCCCCCGTTGATTACAAGGCCATCGATTTCTTCAAGCATGATCCATGAGCCTGAAGTGTAAGCACTAACGTCTGTGCTTGCCAATACATTTCCTTGGATTTCAATGGTTATGGGTTTTGGAGCAGTGCATGGACCCTGGAAAACAACTTCCCCAGCCACAAAGTCTCCCTTTGGAATAACCACCTTTGCTGGTCCAGTTGATTCGCATGCTGCTTTCCAGGCTTTGATAAATGCCTGTAAAGTGTTAAAATTAAGCCACGATAGAAATAAGCAAAACAAATACGAGTTTTCTCGGAATTGTAACCACTCACCTGGGCATTATCGAACCTGCCATCAGCTTTAGCCCCATACTTCATAACGTCAAAAATTGTCTCACCGACAAGGCCACGACGGACACCATTGTGGGGGATGGATTTTGCGCCAATCGCGAGAAAGGTTAAACTCAAGAGAAGGCATACTTTGACCCCAATTTCTCTTGGAATAGCCATAATGGCCTTGAATCCTTTATGAGACAATTTTTGAGTTGTGAAGAAGGATGAGGATTTTTATTAACAATGCCAATGGCTTGTGAATGGAAATAAAGCTTTTGCTCTCAACGTGATTATAAACTGTTCTTGGAACCACATGTTCCTGAATTGGATTGAATCTTGTGCTTGAAAATTATTCATTTTTCTGATTTTCTTTTGGTTCATTCATCATCAAGAAAATGCGGTTATCCAGTTAGTTTTATGGCTATTTTAACTTGTTTTGTTACCATTCAATCTAATTTTGCATCCAGCAGGTTTTTGAGGGGAAGCAGTGGATGCATATCTTTAATTTGGGGTGTAAAAGCTATTACTAAAATGTGCCATTTAATCTAACAACCGTACATGAGATTGTAATCTCATATAGCTCGTCATATAGTTTTTTAGTATTATTTGGGTCCTTTCCACATTGAAAAACTGAAAATCGTGTATGTTACGCTCCCATAAGATAGAATTTTTAGGTCTTCGAAATAGTGTGAAAATAAATATTTCAAATAAATTTTATTTGACTCGGACCTCTTATAAAATGTCAAGGTATTTCCATTATTTTTGTTCAAAAGGTCAAAGTCGAGGAAGAAACCCCTCTCAAATTAATTTCATAATGAACCTTCAACATATATGGGTTTCTTATTAAAAATTTTTGAAATCATAAACCAATTAATAATAGGGCAAATGCCATCAAAATTGTAAGTGCACATTATCGTCAAAAAAAAGTAGTAAAATGGACTTAAAGAGTCGAAAGAATGATGCCATTTGTACAGAAAAATACGGCCACCCCTTTGACAAATCTCAATTGGTAGATTTTGATTGGTTGAAAAAATTGTCAAAAACTATTTTATTTTTAAAAGAACCAACAACTTTATGTCATGTATTTTTCTGTCTAGTAACGTATAAAGATTTTCTGCGTGATTGGAGTCGAAATTATTGTCCCACAAGTAGGGGTGGAGCCAAGGGGACAAATTTTGTACATAGAAAATGTATTTTTTACCTTAATTTTTTCTTTTTTCACCTCATAAAATTTAGTTGGGCTTGGGACAGGTCTGGGCTTCCCTCCGCCCCTACCCACAAGGACTATGCTAGCAAAACTATCGATTTTTCTATTTGATTTAAACAAATTAATCACCTCTCGACTAATTACCATCCACAAACTAATCAATTATTACCAGGTAATCAAATATTAAAAAGATCAACAGAAAAAACGATACAACAATGTCAAATAAAAATTAAAAGTTTATATTAGGCTACATCATTTGCCTTAATTAAAAAATTCATTCATAATAAATGTAGAGAAAAACCAAAATTAAAATAATATTACAACGCCAAATGTATTTAAAAAAAAGAAAAAAGAAAAAGAATTTAATTATCGATCTTGCATCAAGGTTAAAATCACCTCGTCGCTTGAATAGTTGAATTCTCCAAAAATTCTTTGGCTTAGCATTTTACACAATTTAATAATGTCTAAAAAGCTAAGCACATATTACATAAGATTCATAATTTTTCAATCACATATTTTATCATTTTTTATTAAATTTATTAAAAAATTAATTTAAGTTAAATATGTACGATCATTTTTGGTCTTAAAAATCATCCAAGCAGCCTTTAAATAAGCAAATATGTGAAATACGATATATTACGGCCTGGCGCGTTCATGCACGGGAAACAGAAGCTAATCTTGAATGCAGTAATGGACGTGTGAATTTGTAGCTATAGTCCATGATTTTTTATTTTTTTATTTCATTTGGTCCTTTTATATTGACTCAGATTTTCAGTTAGACACAGACTCCAGGAAATAACGTCAAGATCAATTTTTACACTCGATCAGTTTTCAAAGCCAAAGCCCAAGATCAGCAAGTGACGACCCTCATATGACAATTCTGAATTTATGAATGAAATCCCGTTGAAATAATTGATGGGACATTTACAATGAATGAAATGTCAAAGTCTTGTCAGTTTAGATTATAGAGTGTCTGCTCCCTACCGGAACATTAAATGCGCTATAGGCTAGTGAGTTCAAATGAATGTTTAAGATTGAATACTTCGGTTGTCTTTATCTAATGGATACAATTTCATATGTAACACTATAAATACCTCTCCTTGTATCATTGGAAGACTAATGCAACTCCATACACTTAAAGCTACTCTTTGTCTTCTCTCTTGTAGATTATACATTTGTTTTGCTATAATTTAGATTAATTTTCTTTCTTTGAGTTATTTGTGATTGGTAATCATTACGTGATCCCTCTCTAAAATATATTGCCAAGGTATACATTGCTGGAGCCCGAACATATTCATCTTGGGCAAGGATGACAATTTAGCTTACCCCACCCCCCCGGCTCAGCCCAAAAAAATTTTGAGCCTATCCTACTTGAGGCTCGGGCTAGCTTTAAAAAAAAGGAAGGCGGCCGCCTTATTTAAAGGCAGCACACAGTTGCCCTTTTAAAGACAACAGTGCGTTGCTTTATTTAAAGGCAGCCACATAGCTAAAGGTAGCTACTCGGGTCAAGACTTGATTTTTTGGTCGAACTTTTTGCTCGATTTGACTCGGATAAAAAAAGTCCAACTTAATTTTACTCGAGTTGAGCTCGAGCCTTGAGTTTTAGGTCGTTGACATCTCTAGTCTCGTGTTATAAAGCTTCTCGTACGTTCAAATTCGAAATATTTTCGATTTAGCTACCTATCCATATGCGTTGGAATAAGCTTACGTGTACATGAGTGAGCCCGATATCTATTATCCACGTCACCCTAATGAAAAATAAGATCAATAATAACGATATAATCATACGATATTTTTCAAAGTATGCAAACGTGTAGGCTATAATTGTAGTCACGACTTGATTTATTTTCATTAATGTTATGTTATTTTAGAAAAATTGCATTTTAATTTTTGACCCCACAATACAAAAGTTTTGGCTTCATCCTTGATTTGATACAAGGAAAATTTTAGCATAGCATAATTGTATGTAAATTGCACAAAAAGATTTTAAATGACATTACTCGGGAATAAGAACAATAGAAGAATCTTGAATATCATTTTTTGGTCTTGAATCTACAATTTATTGTATCAATTGCCTTTGATTCTCACTTTCGACCTCTTGTACTCTAATGTGGTGTCCCTCGTCCTAGCGACCTCAATTAGTTAAAATAGAAGCTAGAATTTCATACCATTAAGAGTTGGACTCGAAAAGGAAACCAACTCGTCAACTCTGAAATAGAACCATGCTTGCGCAAGTCTTTTCCCACTGTGCACACAACATTACTAAGTGCTTGTTTGGTAGGGATTTTGATAATTGATTTTTTGTTCGTTAGAGATAAAATGGGCCTTATCTATGGAGAAGAATTCAAAAATGATGGTTGAAATAGTGAAATAATGGTTAAAAAATTGATTTTAATTGACTTAAAATCTGTACCAAACAAGCACTAACCCTCTAGCACATGCGTTTGTGTGCACATGGTAGAAGACTTGGGGGCCTATTTTGCAAATTGGTCATTAAACTTTCTTCAAATGTGCAATTTTATCATTTTTCATTCCTCCTTAGCCCTTAGCCTATCTTTTGCATCTAGTTGACTCCTAGCATCATCCAATCTTCAATAAATAGCCCTAATCAACTTTTGAAAGTTCGCGTTTTGAATGCATTTAATTATAAAAAGTGTTGGAGAGCCAAACCCACTATAAATTAAAATGTTAATTTAAAGAATCTCTCGAAGTATGATTTTAAAGGTTAGCTCTTTCAAATAGAGAAAATATCATATTTAAAGAGTTTTTTTAGAGATGCTCTAAGAGTCTTTTTATTTTTATCACTTACTTTTACTACTCCAAAAAAAAAAAAAATTATTATTTTTCTCTATCATTTGTTTCTCTAGTTTTTCTTCAATTTATTAAACTATTGTTTCTACATTAAAAATTGAAATAGTTTGAGTGCATTTAATTATAGAGAGTGAGTTTGGCTCTCCAAACATACTCTTTATTTTAAAATATTAATTTAAAAAGTCTTTTGAAAGAAAATTTTAACGATTATTAACTCTTTAAAATATAGAGAATTTTATGTTAAATAGTCTCTTGGAAATACTTTTAACAAACAAAATATGTACAAAATTAAGTCATAATTAATAAAAATTAAAAACAAATAATCTAATTTAACGGTCTAGATAAGTGTACAATATACGCTTATTAATAATCACTTCCAATTTTACAAAAAACAATGACGTGAGTTTATCTGTAAACAATGCAGACATTTTTGTTATTGTTAACATGTCGTATTCTTTAATTTTTTTTTTAACAAACAAAATATGTACAAAATTAAGCCATAATTAATAAAAATTAAAAACAAATAATCTAATCTAACGGTCTAGATAAGTGTACAAGATACGCTTATTAATAATCACTTACAATTTTAAAAAAACAATGAAATGAGTTTATCTGTAAACAATGCACACATTTTTGTTATTGTTAACATGTCGTATTCTTTAATTTTGTTCTTATGCTAGACATATCAAGTTGTCCAATTCAACTTGTAAAATTCAATTGATAAGTTTTCCTCAAAAGTAGGCTGGTCCATTTCTTTGTCCCATAGTTGAGGAAATGATAATTAGCACAAAACTTCTATATTTTTTAAGGTTTTTGTGAAAAACGTCCCTATCTTTTTTTTTGGGGGGCAAATTTCATCATCACCTTTACCTTTTATTGCGGATAACATCCTTCCGTCCACTCACCATTAAAATGCTCCGTTAAATCAATTAAAATTGAATTTTTCTTTTCAAAAGGCAAGAGTAACATTGTCCAAACCTATTTTTCTTTGCTTTCCAAGATTTCACTGCAATTTATCCATAAAATTTAAATCATATTTTGTAATTATTCTCTAAATTCAAAACATATTTTTCGCATTATTTATTTTCTTTCCCAAATTTCACTGCAAAGGAATAGAAGGAAATTTTGTTCATTCAATGTAACATTTGATATAATGAAGTACTTACAAAGAGAAGCAATTATGGGGGGCAAAGGAAATTAGGCTGCTAATTACATTGACTTATTTATAATTACTTATTTTTGTCTTTTCTTCTTGAGATACAAGATGTTTGGGGTATTGGAGTTTGTAAAAATAATGTAGAAATATATCCTTTGAATTTTGTATTATACTTTGCTTAAATGTATGATTGTTCATCCTCATTTTGTGCTTACGAAGGGTGTAAATAAAGGAAAAAGTGAGAATACCAATTAAAATGTAATTCTATGAATGAACAATACATATGAATGAAGAACATGAACGAGTTTTCTTTTTATTTTAGCATGAAATTGAACTTGTGGTAACAGTCATTATCTTTATGTTGTTTTTGCACAAAACATCTATATCTTTAAATTGGCATTGCGTAAAATATCCTTACCTTTGTTAAAAATAGGGACAGTTTGCACAATTTTTAACAAAGGTAAGAATGTTTTACGCAATGACAATTTAAAAATACGGATATTTTGTGTAAAGACAACATAAAAATAAGGACTGTTACCACAAGTTCAATTTCATTCTAAAATGGAAAGAAGACATGTTCATCTTCTCCATTTATATGTATTGTCCATTCACAGAATTTTTAATTTTATGAAATTTTTTGGCTTTGGCTTGGAATTAGTGATGTTAATAAAGGTATTTCGGTCCATATTGCAAAATGGACATTAAAGAAATTTTGGCATTTTCCCAAATAACAATGTGAAAGTGGGCACTGTTGTGATTTTCTCATTATATTATTCAAATCTGGCTGGCACGACGGACAATTTGTTGTAATTTCCTCATTAATTATTCAAATCTGGCTGGCACGACGGACAATTTGTTGTAATTTCCTCATTATATTATTCAAATCAGGCTGGCATGACGTACCTACCGATAATGCACATTATCAATTATAAATTACAATTGCAGTTAGCATCACGAAACTCTCCTTCATCTTGAGAGCTAGTGACAAAAAAGAAATGGATAAGATTGTGCACAGAAACTTGAGTGTAAACGGGATCCATATGCACGTAGCCGAGATAGGAGAAGGTCCGGCGGTGCTTTTCCTCCATGGTTTTCCCGAGCTATGGTACTCTTGGCGCCACCAGATGCTTTATCTCTCCTCCAGAGGCTACCGGACAATCGCCCCCGACCTCCGAGGTTATGGAGACACCGACGCGCCGCCTTCCGCCGCCAGCTACACCGGCTTCCATATTGTTGGCGATTTGGTGGCGTTACTGGATGCTTTAGAACTTGAACAGGTTTTCCTGGTGGCGCATGACTGGGGCGCGTTGATTGCGTGGTGGTTCTGCCTGTTCCGGCCGGACCGTATTAAGGCTTTGGTTAATACCAGCGTCCAATTTCACCCGAGGAATCCTTCCGTCTCATTTATTCAAGGATATAGATCTCTTCTAGGTGATGATTTCTACATGTGCAGGTTTCAGGTATGTTTAAATTTAAAATATTTTATACGTAAATTTAAATTTTTTTCCACTTTTTAATTCTCTTAAAATCACTGTTCAAAATAATTTTTTTTCCAAATAATAACCATCAAATGGGAGATAAATAAGTTTCTCAATTATAGATTAGGAGCATTAGCCCCCGTTAGCCCTCATTTTTTTAAAATGAAAATGGGTAGAATAGTGTTTTTTTGAAAAATAAATAGTTGAAAAAGAAAGAAATTTTTTCCATTTACGTATAATATTATTTTATGGAAGATTGTGATTAAAACTAAGAAAGAAAAATAGAATATAATAGAATGAAAATTAATGACATCCAAATGGGGCTTACAAGGATATACTTTCTCTGAAGGCAAATTGTAATAATAATACGCAGTTCTTATTTTAAGGTATGAAAATAAAAAATGGCAGCTGATACTACCAAAAATCGTACCTGAGCAATTCCGAGCTGGACGACTGATGACGAGCACGAACGTGATCTTCCGGTATTGAAACAAAGGCGTCGACGTGTATCATAGTCGCCCCTCCAATGCTTAAGTCAGAGAGAGAATTTGTGCGTAAGACTATGAACTGAAAATTATGTAAAACATACCTGAATAATGATCAAGGGCTTTGTATTTATAGAGGTAGGTGGTGTGTTCATACTAGGATTCCGTAGTGCACTTGTAATAGGACAGCTTGATTTTGCAATCTTATTCCAATGAGTCCTACGCGAGATAGGAGTTTGAATTGTGGTATAACTGGGATACCAATTATTTAATAGAGTTCTTCTGGGCATAGGAGACATGGGTTGAGGAGTTTAAGTCAGAATAAATTTCTTATTGGATAAGGTGTTGACGTCGGGGACATGTCGAGGACATAATCCCGAGGACATGACGAACGACGTTCCACAAACTCTTAGGTCAAGAGCTCGGGCATGTGAAAGACATCCCGAGCATACTGATACACAAATCGACAAAATAGAGTCCTCGGGTTTGTATACGTCGGGAACAGTAGTTGGTAACATCAGTGGCCCCTATGCACCTGTGCTCGATTATATGCATGAGGATAGGTGCAAAAGATCAAAATTACAGTCCTCAGTATAATACCCTCGACAATTCATTGCAGAGGAAGGATTCGTGAGGGCTGACGTCAGATGTGGTAGTGACGCTAGCCCTAGTACAAAGGCGGTGTAACTTTTAGACCCTAGGATGTAGGACACGTGGCATGATCGAACAGTTCAGGATGTGATTTTTGGCCTCCCACCCATGTTTCCCTATATAAGCCTCATTTCCTATTCATTTTTTACTTTTTCACTATCAGTAAACCTTGTTGGAGTCGTCGGGATAAGGCGAGTCCTCCAGACTTTAAGTTGTTTGTTTTTAGAAAAGTCTAAATTTAAGATAGGATGTCGAGCAGTGATAGTAATACGTCGTCCTCGAGTTCAGGAACCCCAACCGAGGACTTAGGATAGTTAATAATACCTATGGCCGTCCCCATAAGTGTTAATCCTCGAGCTCAGGATATCCCGATACCGTTAGTATACCCCGACCAACCTGTAGGTTTAAGGAGCACTTAGCAGTGGCAACTGCTAGGGAGTTCGGCCTGATGCCGAGCTGTGATATTAGATCTCCCGGGGATGAGGATAGGGTAGCCATTGCTCGGGAAGGAGAGTTTGTCGTTTTTAAAGATTCTCTGAAGAGGGGATTTAGGTGGCCACTACATCCTTTTTTCCTCGCACTTTTGACCGAGCATAATATGATTCCGGGGCAATTAGTGTCGAACGGGTGGAGGATGTTGACATATTTTTTTATTGCTTGTAGATACCTCGAGATTATCCTGTATGTCGACTTATGTAGGATGGTCTTCGACCTAAAACAACTCCCCCAGTACTCTTGTTTTGCCTATCTCTCAACCCGATGAGGGTTTAGAATCCCGAGGATGCCTAGCTCCCTGAAAGGGTGGAAGGACAAGTGATTTTATGCCATATCTCAAGATCCCAACGTTCCCTTTAGTCCTCGGTGGGGGGTGCCCGATACTGCTAGGTTTTGTGGGGGTCAGGCGTATTTTGAGTCGTTGGAGAGGCATAGGCAAATGCTAGAGGAGCTCGAGCCCCTCGTTTATGACTTGGATAATATCCTCGGGGATGATATCCTCGAGCTTGCGAACATGAAAGGCATCAAGGGTAGGATACGCGATTTTAACGCTTTAATTTCCCAACCTATATTTTTATTAATGCTCGTGCTAATAACATGTCTTTTTTTTTTGCAGAAATGACGTTTGACCCAAGTGCCTTTCGTCAGGCAATTAGCAAGAAGTCAAAGGTTCCCCAGGCTCGAGCTCCAGACCAGAGGAGGGGCCAAAAGAGACCTCGGGATTCGAGGCTTGAAAAGCAGACCAGTGGGCCCGGTGAATCGTCAAGGCCCTGAGGATCGTCCCTGGGAGTAGGGAGGACGGGAACTCACCAACAAGATCTTCAGGGGACTCCTCGAGAGCCTCATCCTCGAGGACCTGTTGCATGGTCGATCTTGAGAATGAATGCCTGCCACTGGGCCCTATAAATCCCGAGGGATGCTCCCGATTTCAGTCCGTGCTCAGCATTGTTGACAAGTACCGGGCAGATGTCAATTTAAGCAATGGCTTGAGGGCTCTCGAGGCTATGGCCTTGAAGGTAAGATCGTCGACAGTTTTTTATTTTTATTTTTTTGCAATCTTTACTTCCCGAGGTTAAGTTGCCCATGCTCTTTTTTCCAGACATTGGGCATAGCTCGAGGTCTTCCCTTAAAGGGGAAAGACGAGTATTCAAAAATGGCCGACCTCGAGGGTGCCATTTCTATTCGGGATCTGAGGATCGTCGACCTCGAGGAGGAACGTGCTCAACTGATGAGGGAGCGCGAGCAGATGAGAAATGATCTTCGCAATGCTCAGGATGAGGTCGGTACTGCGAAGGACAAGACTGAGCACCTCAAACTCGAGCTCGAGCGCACTCAAAAAGAATTGGATGCAAAGCTGGCCGATACTCGAGATGATGCGGTCGAGGATTTTAAGAAGTCTGACGCCTTCAACGAGTTGAAGGACAAGTATGCTATGGGCTCATACTTTCATGCCTTGAAGGAAGCTCGAGCTTTTATTCGCCTGAGGCCAGATGCTCGTCCTGAGGATCTGAAGTCGATTCCTGAGGTGGCTGATGACCTTCAGCTTTCTGAGTCTGAAGAAAATGGTGGGGATGAAGACGTCGATATTGAGGGTGATGATGTCGAGGAAGGCCAAGGCAGTCAGAACACCGATGTCTAAATTTGATCGGTCCCCGAGTATTTATTTTGATTTGTAATTTTTGATGTAAAATGCTCGATCTTAATGGAAATAGTTTTTCCTTTTTACCGAGTTCGTTTTGTGTTATCGACGCATTTGTATTTCATCAACATATGCCGACGACTTTTGTTAATTAATTATCCCGACGACTGAGAAGAATTAATTATCTCGACGACTAAGAAGATTAATTATCTTGACGACGAATTAATTATCTCAACGATTGAGAAGAAATAATTCGATTTTAAGCAAGTCATAATGCCGATGACAGTGGTAAATGTAGGATATAGTTTAACACTTGATGGTAAAAAATATCCCGTCGTCTAAGATAAATTAATTATCTCGATGACTAAGACGATAAATTATCTCTACGATTGAGAAGAATTAATTCAATTTCAAGCATGTCATAAGGCCGAGGACAGTGATGAATGCAAGATATAGTTTAACACCTTGACGGTAAAATTATCCCGACGTCAGTATTGAATAACCTCGAGGACTAATCGCGAGGGTTGGTAACCTCGAGGTATACGAAGAATTGTGACCGACCTCTGTACAGAAGTATATCCCTAGCTTTCACCTTGGAACCTTAGACAAAAATTCAAGGATAGATGGTTGGGGATGTATGTCCTCGGGATGTTTACTTGTGCTGTACGATTTTGATGTGCTGATTATGGGCTCCAAGGTTTTGGTGCTTGCGCAAGACAAGGCTTAGGTGTTTGCGCAAGGCAAGGCTTAGGTGCTTGCTCAGGGCAAGGTTTTGGTGCTTGCACAGGACAAGGCTTAGGTGCTTGCTCAGGGCAAGGTTTTGGTGCTTGCGCAGGACAAGGCTTAGGAGCTTGCTCGAGGCAAGGCTAGGTGCTTGCTCGGGGCAAGACTTTGGACTGCTTGCTCGAGGACAAAGCTTACATTTCTTGTCGAGGACAAGGCTTAGGGCAGCTTGCTCGAGAGCAAGGCTTACATTGGCTTGTCGAGGACAAGGCTTAGGGCGGCTTGCTCGAGGGCAAGGCTTACATTGGCTTGTCAAGGACAATGCTTAGGTAATTCCTGGACGCAAAGCAAACTATAGGGTTGTTATACCCAAGGTTTGAATTTATTAATTCATCGGACTTGACTTGGATTTATATTGTATCCAAGCTGCCTACGTACCCAAATGGGATCAAGCCGAACGTAGTTCATTACAAAAGAAAATGGAAAACATGCATGGGCACGCAGACCCGTCAAACTAGAAATAAAATGCAAGAGCACGCAGGCCCGAAGAACCAAAAATAACATTCAGAAGAACTAAAAATGCAGGAATAAAAAGAAAATCTCCTAGATGGCATCGAGAATGTTACTTGTAATATATTTTCAGATTATCGACATTCTAGGGCCTTGGAAGAGGTCTATCCGAAGTGTCTCTTAGACTGTATGCTCCTTTACGAACCTGTCGTATGACCTCAAAGGTTCCTTCCCAGATGGGCTCGAGCTTCCCTGGGGGGTGACCTGCTGCTTCGGCCCTCCTCAAGACCAAGTCACCACCTCTGAACCTTCGAGTCTTGACTTTGTTATTAAAATATTTGCTGTCTTAGTTTGGTAAGAGGCCACCTTTATAGCGGCTTGCTCCCGTACTTCTTCCAAGAGATCAAGGTGTTCAGTTGTATGCCCCGAGGTTTCTGGCTCGAGCCTTCTATGGCTTGGCAGTCTAATTTCCACCAGGACCATTGCTTCAATGCCATATGCTAACATAAAAGGGATTTCTCCTGTGGTTGTCCTATGAGTTGTTCTATACGTCCATAGTCTAGAAAGCAACTCGTCGGACCAAGAACCCCTAGCATTACCTATTCTTGTTCGGAGGTCTTGTAATATGATTCGATTTGTCACCTCAGCCAGACCATTGCTCTGAGGATGCGAAACTGAAGTCAGACGGTGATCAATCCCAAGGTTTGAGCAAAAGTCCCTAAACTGTTGATTGTCAAATTGCCTGCCATTGTCGGTGATGAGGACCTTTGGTATCCCAAACCTGCAAATGATAGACCTCCAAGTGAAGGCTCTTAGCTTGGGCTCCGATATCGTTGCGAGAGGTTTAGCCTCTGTCCATTTAGTGAAATACTCTACTACTACAGCAACAAACTTTAATTGACCTCTTGCCACAGGAAAGGGCCCGAGGATGTCAACTCCCCATTGTTTAAACGGGGCCGAACAGTTAATGTTGGTGAGGTCTTCGGCCGGTGAATGGATAACATTACCAAACCTCTGGCACCTATCACATCTCTTACCATATTCTGAGGCGTCTTTCTTCATAGTTGGCCAATAGTACCCATATTGTATGAGTTTAAAGGCCAGGGCCCTGGGTCCTTGATGATTCCCGCACACACCTTCATGAACTTCAGCAAGGGCTTGGGATGATTCTGATGGTCTAAGGCACCTTACGTACGGAAGAGTAATACTTCTGCGAAAGAGGACACCGCTGATCATGCAGTACCTAGGAGCTCGAGCTCCGATGCTTCTAGCCGACCTGGCATCGCTTGGTAAATTTCCACTTGTGATGAATTCTATGATTGGGTCCATCCAAGACGGTTCGTTGTCAATGTCCATGACGTCGGGAATTTGATTGATGCTGGGTTCTGTGATGACTTTGATGTGAACTGTTCTGTCCAGGTTGTCAACCCCCATGAACACAAGCTTGGATAATGCGTCAGCTTTTCCGTTGTCCTTTCGAGCAATTTTTGCAATTTCATAACTCTTGAATTTTCGTTGAAGATCCTGAACCTTCATGCAGTACAAACTCATTTTCTCGTCTTTCCTTTCAAATGATCCTTCAATCTGTCCGACCACCAGTTGTGAATCGCTGAATACCTTCACGAACTCGAGCTCAAGGCTAAGGGCTAGCTCCAGAGCAATAACGACGGTCTCATACTCGGCCTCGTTATTGGTTGCATCAAACTCGAACCTAAGAGCGCATTGAATCTCCGTATGTTTGTCAGGGCTGATGATGATAACCCCTGCACCCGAGCCCGAGGAGTTCGATGCTCCATCTACAAAAATTTGCCAAGTGTCCAAATTAGTGTTCATGCTCGAGCCGTCACCTGGCCCCCGAGGCTTAGGGGTTAGTTCTGCAATGAAGTCGGCTAGTGCTTGGGCTTTGATAGATGGGCGTGGTTTGAATTCGATGTCAAATTCTCCAAGCTCGATCTCCCATTTTATCAATCTTGTTGAGACATCCGGCTTCTGAAGTATATGCCTAAGTGGTGATTAGTGAGCACCACAATAGGGTGAGACTGAAAATACTGCCAGAGTTTTCGTGCTGCTATCACCAAGGCAAGGGCAAGTTGTTCCGCCAAAGTATACCTTGTTTTCGCATCTAGTAGGACCTTGCTCACATAGTAGATAGGTTGTTGGACTCTGTTAACCTCTTTCACCAAGACCCTGCTGATCGCGTTTTGAGATACGGCCAAGTACAAAAATAAGGTGTCACTAGGTTCAGGCCCAGTGAGAATAGGAGGAGATGCCAATGTTTGCTTGAGCTCTTGAAAAACTTTCTCACAGTCTTTACTCCAATCAAAACCTTGGTTTCCTCTGAGGACTTTGAAGAAGGGATAGCACATGTCTGATGTTCGGGACATGAACCTGTTCAAGGCTGCTATCCTACCAGTCAACCTCTATACCTCTTTCTTGTTCCTTGGTGATTCCATGGATGCCAAGGCTTGTATTTTGTCAAGGTTAGCCTCTATCCCCTGGTGAGTGATCATAAAGCGCAAGAACTTGCCCGAGGCTACGCCAAATGGACATTTTGCTGGGTTCAACTTCATTCTGTACTTTCGCAAGGTGTCGAAAACCTCTTCAAGATCCGAAATATGTTGGTCCACCCATTTTCTCTTGACCACCATGTCATCAACGTATGCCTCCACATTCCTTCCTATCAAGTTAGCAAAGACTTTGTTGATGAGCCTTTGGTATGTTGCCCCTGCATTCTTCAAACCGAAAGGCATGACCTTATAACAGTATATGGCGGAATTGGCCATGAATGACGTCTTTTCTTGATCTTCCTTGGCCATGAGGATTTGATGATAACCAGAAAATGCATCTAAGAAGCTATATAGCTTATGTCCAGATGTGCTATCCACCAAGTTGTCAATCCGCGGTAGGGGATAACTATCCTTTGGACATGCTTTGTTAAGATCTGTGAAGTCAATGCAGACCCTCCACTTACCATTGGCCTTCTTAACTAAACAACATTGGCAAGCCAATCGGGATATTGGACCTCCCGAATGAATTGAGCACCGACGAGTTTGTTAATTTCTTTGCGGATGACCTTCCGACGTTCTGGGGCAAACTGTCTTTTCTTCTGCTTTACTGGTCTGGCCCCTGGGCTAATGTTAAGCTTGTGGACTGTAATTTTGGGGTCTATCCCTGGCATATCCTCAACCTTCCAAGCAAAAACGTCAATGTTGCGAGATAAGCAACCAATAAGTTCTGTCTTTAGGGGTGACATCAAGATCCCGACCAATCGTCACCTTCTTATCATGCTCGAGCTCGATTTCCGTCAATTCTTCGACAGGAGCAAGTCTGACTTGTTGGCCGGTCTCGAGCTCTATCCTCGAGATTTGCATGACGTCGTTATTTATTTCCTGAATGCTGGCAACATAGCATTGTCTGGTAGCTGCTTGGTCTCCACGCACGACCCAAACGCCATTACCTGTTGGAAACTTCATGGCTAGGTGGAAGGTAGACACAACGGCTTTGATTTTGTTCAGGAGTGGTCTTCCCAGGATAGCGTTATAGGCCATTGAAACATGTACAACTTGAAAAGATGTCATCTCCGTAACCTATTTCTGGCCAGAACCCAAAGTTAGAGGAAGCTTGACGATACCCTCTGGAGTGATGACTCCTCCCCCAAACCCCTGGAGAGGAGTTTTAACCGCTTTGAGCTGCTGAGATGAGATTTCCATTTTGGCAAAAGCCTCTTGTGAAAGTATATTGGCCGCACTCCCATTGTCAACTAAGATTCTCTTTACTTCAAAATTGGCCACAATCGTTGAGATGACCAAGGCATCATCATGTGGAAGTGATATACCTTCCAAGTCCCTGGTTCCAAAAGTAATATCCTCCAGCTTTCCATGAGGCATCCTAGAGGCCAAGGTATATTGTCGGGCATATTGTTTTCTTCCACTGTTCGAGTCTCCTCCCGAGGCAATACCCCCAATGATGATATTGATGGGTCCAGCAGTGGGTTGACCATTCCTTTTTGCTTCAGGGGCTCTTTCCCTACCACTATCGTTCCTCGGGCGTTTATCGTTACCGACGTAGGAACTCAGGAATCCTCTTTTAATAAGAGCTTCAATCTCCCATTGCAGGGCCTTACAGTTTTTCGTGGTATGCCCATGATCCTGATGGAACTCACAGTACGTGTTCATGTCCCTGGATTCGGGTGGTGACCTCATTCTAGCAGACCATTTGAGTTCTTCATATCCTTGATCTCCATCAATATATTTGTTTTTGACGTATTTAAACGCGTGAATGATGTCGGGGGAACCTCCTGTCTCTGTTTTCTCCGAGGTGGTTCTTGACGGGAGTTCGGGTCGTGCTGTCGTTTATGCTCGACCCTATCATGGGATGGTCCAACTTTTCTCGGGTTCAGTGTTTTCTCCATATTTATGTACTTCTCGGCTTGGGTAAGATGCTCGGTCACTGTCTTTGGCGGAGTTTTGGATAACGACATCTTGAAAGCCTCACACTTTATGGCATATGTGAGGGCAGAAACTGCTGTAGTTATATGTAGGTTGGAAATCTGAAGTCTTTCCTTGTTGAACCTAGTCATGAAGTCACATAGGGTCTCATTTTGCCCTTGTCTAAGTTGCATGAGGGAAGCCACTGTCTTCCTGATGCGTTTACTGCTTGCGAAGAAAGCAGAGAACTTGTCTGCCAAATCCGAGAATGAGGCTATGGAGTTGGGCTCTAAGGTCGAGAACCAATCCCTAGCAGCATTCGTCAAAGTTTGCAGGAAGGCCTTGCACATCGCCTGATCCGGTGCGACCTGTAGATTCATGACGTCCGTGTATACGTTAAGATGATTGATTGGATCGGTGGTCCCGTCATACTCTTTGATCCTAGGATACTTAAATCTGTCTAGTAAGGGGAATGTCAGTATCTCGGGAGTAAAAGGATTGTTGGGACTGAATCTTGTTGACCCTTTGTTGCCCTGAAGTAGGCCCGCCGTAATTCGTTCTTGAATAATCCTAGCGAGTTCTCCGAACTCCATGGTCACTGATCTCAAGGTTGAGGTCACATGTGGTATGCTCGAGACCCCTGCTCCGCCATTGTCAGGGACATGTCGCTGAGCTCGAGCTCGAGCATCAGCCATAAAACTCCCCTGGGGTGCCGGTGTGGGTGACGGATGCGAATTCCTTTAACTTAGTAGCTGAGTCAGTGTGGTGACTTGTTGTTTGAGCTCTTCAAAGGCTCCGGTAGTGATGACTGCCGGCTGGGGCTCTGGCACTTTTGATGATTCCTCTTGAGGAACAGGGATACCCTCAGGAGGAGGTTGGTTTGGAGCGGATGAGCTTGCTTGTGGAAGACCTGAACGTGTGTTTACCATGGCTTTTGGTAGCGCTTCCCACAGACGGCGCCAATGATGCTACCAAAAATCATACCTGAGCAATTTCGAGCTTGACGACTGATGACGAGCACGAACGTAATCTTCCGGTACCTGAAACAAAGGCGTCGAGATGTATCCTCGTCGCCCCTCCGATACTTAAGTCAGAGAGAGAATTTGTGCGTAAGGCTATGAACTGAAAATTATGTAAAACGTACCTGAATAATGATCAAGGGCCTTGTATTTATAGAGGTAGGTGGTGTGTTCATACTAGGTTTCTGTAGTGCATTTGTAATAGGACAGCTTGATTTTGCAATCTTATACCAATGAGTCCTACGCGAGATAGGAGTTTGAATTGTGGTATAACTGGGATACCAATTATTTAATAGAGTTCTTCTGGGCATAGAAGATATGGGTTGAGGAGTTTAAGTCAGAATAAATTTCTTATTGGATAAGGCGTTGACGCCAGGGACATGTCAAGGACATAATCCCGAGGACACGTCGAATGACGTTCCACAAACTCTTGGGTCAAGAGCTCGGGCATGTGAAAGATATCCCGAGCATATTGATACACAAAGCGACGAAATAGAGTCCTCGAGTTTGTATACGTCGGGAACAGTATTTGGTAACATCAGCAGCCAAGAAAGTTTTGGGTCAAAATGAGGGTACTAAGATAACCCTCATTTTTCAAAAATCATTTTTCCTAAAATTTATTTTAAACCAAAAATTTTACGGAATCCACTTATTTTTCCTAAAATTTATTTTTAACCATAAATTTTTTGAGATTCACAAGTTTTATCAATTTTTTAGTCACACATTTTATCTATTTTTAACAAAATGCACTAAATTTTTAATTTATAACTAAACCAAACAAAGGATATGACTTTTGTCTTTGTTCAACCAGTCGGCAGACGTTTATATTAGCCTTTGTAGACCACTAACTTTAGACGCAGAGAGAATTATTATTAGCATGTTTGAGCCATATTATTTGAAAAAAATGCATTCTTTAACAATGATTTGACATTATTTCAATAACATATTTTTCAATAAAATAATATTACACGTAAATTCAAAAATTTCCCTTATTTTTTAACGACACATTTTTGATCGATACACTATTCAAAAATGCATTTTTATTCCAATAATGTGGCTCAAACAATAAGTAAAATTTTATTTATTAATAAGTATTTCTTTCATAAAAGATTGTTTCAATGAGATAATTCTTTCAGAAGATCATGTGATAATTTATGAGATTTTGGAGTTCTCTTTTCGTTAAAATTGGGTGTGATTTCATGGTCTTGTTGCATCCCCATGAAGAGGAGGAATACAGTCATTCTCAATCTTGATTCTTAGGGAAATTATGCCAAATGTAGATGTTAAACAATAGAATCTTTACGTAGCTGAATCTCTCAAGCGTCACATTCTAAATCCCCAGTCATAATAAGTCTAAACTAGTAATAGAATATGAATTCTCATCTTTCGGTTTGAAATAAAACATATGAATATTATATTATGATATAGGAACCAGGTGAAGCAGAAGAGGCACTTGCATCAGCAGAAACACCACATGTAATGAAGTCACTCTTTTCATTCCGAGGTGGAAAACCCATCATTGTACCTAAAGATGTAGGGCTTAAGGCACTTTTCCTGGCTCCATCAACATTGCCGTCGTGGCTCACTGAGGAGGATATCAACTATTATGCTACCAAATTCGAAAAAACTGGGTTCACTGGGGGATTGAATTACTATAGAGCATTCGACTTGTAAGTTCTTCTTGTCAGTTGTCCCCTTCTTAATCCTCGTCCCCCTCCAAGTCCCTCCGTGACCTCCCTCTTTGCCGTGTAATAATATTTGCTTGAGTGATCGATGCAGAACCTGGGAGCTTACAGCACCATGGACTGGATTAACAGTACCTGTACCTGTGAAATTTATCATTGGTGAACTGGACATAACCTACCATGTTCCTGGTGTCAAGGATTACATACACAATGGTGGGTTCAAGAAAGATGTTCCATACCTGGAAGAAGTGGTCGTGATGGAAGGAGTCTCACATTTCCTCAACCAAGAGAAACCCGAGGAAGTCAGCGAACATATATATGACTTCATCAAGAAGTTCTGAAGAATCTTCATGCTATTTTCCTGTGGTCATACTGGAGTTTCAACAAATCTTTGAATAAGAAATTAGTACTGACAATTCTCCACAATTTATAATATTGCATGTTTTCGACTAAGCAATTGTGCCTTTTGCAAAATATTTAAATCACTATGAGAATGTCCCCAGTCAAACGCAGACATTTTACATTTGGGGTCACAATTAAATTTTGAAAAATAAAATAACGAATTTTTTTCTATTACTTCATATCTATTATAAACTATTATACTATTTTTTCATCTTGATTATTTTTATATCTAAAATTTTTATATATATAAAAAAAAATTGATCATTTTTAGGATTTTTTTATTATTGTTACTTTTTCCTCTCAATCATTAATTTTTTTAAAAATAATCTAACAAATTTCCTAATAAAATTTTTGACGTCATTTGGAAAAAAAAATTAATTGATCGAAAGGAAAAGATAACAATAATAAAAAAAATCCTAAAAATGATTGAATTTTTTTATTTATAATTTTTTTTTTAAATATAAAAATAATCAAATTGAAAAAGTAGTATAACAATTTATAACCCCTATGAAATAATAAAAATTTTATTAAAAATTTTTACGTCAAAAAAATAAAAAATAAAAAAATGACGTCATACCACATAAAATTTCCTAATAAAATGATGTAAATTATATTGAGAATTTTTTCGTGCAAAAATAATAAATATTAATAAAATAATTGATTTTTTTTTTTTAAAAAAAAGACAAGTTATACGTTTCTTTTTAGCATACACGTTTGACGTACGTTTAACTATTTTTTATATTCATTTAGATTATTCGATATGTTTATAATATAGTTCTTGAAATGAGCTTCAAGAGGATATAAAAGATTTATGTATATGACTAGTGTATAATTGTCGAAAAATTTTTAAAGTCAGTTTGTTATCGAAATTCTATAAATATTAGTTTGAAACTATCTATTTTGACGCGTCATAACATTTTCTATGATTGACCATTTCGCACAACATCAACGACATGAAAATACTAGTATGTGAGTACTTCAAAATGATATTAAAAATGCAGTATTCAATTTCGTTTGAAATTTTACAGTGAGCTCCAAAACTAAGAGGGGGGAAAAAAAAGTTGAAAAAACTAGAGGGTCTAGTGACCCTAGGGACCCCCTTGGGTCCGCCCATGATTATGTCCCAATGTTTTGCAAGATTTTGGTCAAGTGCATGCATGAAATCGATGGTAAAGATTGACTTAATGTTAATTGAACTGGTATATAACTCACACTAACATAGAATGAAACATTCCGGTTTGTTAGTACAATGTATTTGCCAGAAACGACTAACATTTAATGTTAAGAGAATACACAACAGTAATAATTCCTAGGTGATACCCTCGCCAACATATCAATCCTAACTCGGAAGGAGTCTTGTTATCCATGTCGTGAAATTATCTCCCAAGACGGGTTGTGTGAACATGTGCAAGGAATCAAAAACAGATCAAAACTTCCGGACAAAGTCGTAAATATGTGCACTGATTTCATCCGGTTTTTCTTGGTTAAGAAAGTGAGCCACTCCTTCCATGACAACTACTTCCTGCAAAAATGGCACCTCTCGTTTGAAGCCACCACCATGTATATATTCCTTTACACCTGGATTATTATATGTAAGGTCGAGATCTCCCACAATAAACTTAACAGGAACCTTTATTTGCACCCCGGTCCACGGTGCTGTGAGCTCCCAATTCCTGCAGCAGTAAGAAAGAAAATATTACACAGCTTGCAAAAACAATCCTGCAAAGAACTGTTATGTACTAAACCCCATGGGCAAGTTCGTTAAGTATTACTATTATGCATCTAGAATAATATTCTGAACTAGAATTTTTTTAATATTGTTTTGTACTGTTGATCTATCTTACCAAACATATGACAAAGGTTACCAATCAATATGAATGAAGAGATAGCGAGCCTCATTAACATCATCACAACTTTTAGTGAGTCACCAAATCATGCAAGACCGACGAATGTGCTCAACAACGTTGTTCAGGGAAATTAAGCACCATGTGTTGAATATTGGCCAAAAAGACGTAACAAGAAAAATGAAATGATCAATAATCCATGTCAAAGATGTATCACTCAAATAAAGCATGGATCCTAAAAGAATATATAACGTATTAAAGGGGAAAAGAAAAATTAAAAATGCGAGTAAGACTTACAGGTCCATAGCTCGATAGTAATTTAATCCACCCGTGAAGCCTGTTTGGTAAAATTTGCTAGAATAATAATTGACATCATCTTCTGATAACCAAGAGGGCAACGTAATTGAAGAATGAGGCGAGCCCCCAAACCCTCTACTTTTAGGAACAGAAAGTGGAGCTGGATTTCGAGATGTTAAAAATTTCTTGATCAATCTTCCTGTGTTAACACGAGCAAACTCCTCTTCCACTTCCCCAGGTTCCTACAGGAAAATTAACAATTCAATTGATTTCGTATACAAAAATTTGAACAAGATGTTCAACATCAGAGCACGTACAAGTCATATGGTACAGACAACTATAAGATGCAACTGATCTACAAAGTCACGAAGAAGCCATTTACTGAGTGATATTGCCAAGTTGAATACTCGAGGGCTGGTACGTCTCGAGGGCTATTATACCTCGAGGACGTTACATAATCTTATAATTCCATTCTGAAGGTCTAGTCCTCGGGGTTTTATGGTCTTCGGGATGTTTATCCCAAGGACTCAATTCCCCTTCCCAAAATTCACAAGTCCTCGGGGTGATGTAATCGAGCAATACCCTTCCAACCAAACTCTTTATCCGAGCCCATAAGAAGTCTTACCTTCTGAGGACTCTAATATGATTCAAACACCTCAACCCAGGACTCCTACGTCCACAAGAACTCTATGTCAACAATAGTATCATTGGTCATGCAATTATATTACAAATAATATACTTCTTTCAAGCGGGACTCTATTGGATAAGAACGTCCAACTTATTCAATCATATTAGGAGTGCACTACCTACCGCTATAAATACAGGACCCAGGTCCATTATTCAAGTACGTTCTACGGCTTAAGCATCGGAGAGGCGACGAGCACACACCTCGTTGCCTTTGTTTCAGGTACTTGGAAAGCTTTGTTCGTGTCCATTATCAGCCATCATCCTCGAGATACGCAAGGTATGATTTTTGATAGCATCACTGAGGTATTGTCATGTCTCATATATGAAACAAGTGAAACTCAATTCATCATCTTAAAGACCAGAGGACCAACATGAATTCGTCAAATTCAAGAACAATGAATGACCAACTATATTGAAAGTTTAAACAAGGTCTAAAACAGAGGAGCAAAAGCATTATAGCCAAGAATAGCAAATTGTTAATGAAAACGATATACTTGTTAAAGCAGGAACTCATTAGTCCAGGCTTAATTCTACTTCTTCCCAACCAAGCTCAACAATGTTTGTACAGAACGGAACACACAAGAGGTGTTTCATATATCTTCCTGTTTGCTCTCTCAGAAACAGCAATATGAAGTCCTTAGAAGCAAGGCAAAAGGTCCATACAATGCACTTCAACATTTGCACATTGTTGGCAAATTTTTGAAAAGTGCTCTCTATTTCAAGTTTTTCACAATAGTATTTCCTGCCGCTTTTTCACATAACAACTCAATGTTGATGGAAAGCTGGAAACAAATCAAACAAACCTGACCAGAATACGAATTCACACAACCCACATGACCAAATAACTTGCATTGAGTAGTTGAGACCATTAACCACCTCATTTAAAAAATTACTTTATTGGCTTTACCTTTTTTCAAAAAATAAATGCACGTAGTTCAAGTTTTCGCCAGATTCACCAAGGAATATTTTAGTCTTCAAAGGATTTCATCAAATCAGACTTTTGGTAACAAGGAATTTATAAAAATAGATACATCATAAATGCAGACTACATCCTAATACAGAAGCAAATCTTTGCACCTCATACACAGGGAAGAATCTTCAGTGGGGCGGTCATACCACGTGGGTGGTGTGACCGCCCAATGCCAAGGTGGCACACCGTTACTGAAGATTCTCTCCATACACAGATAAATGATCTCATCACCTTATCCCCCTTAGCACTAACCAATAATAGCCATAGCACCCTACCACCAATCAGTAATTATCCTAGTGTATTAATTTCACTCAATCATAAACAAATTAAAACCAAACAATCCCACCAACAGGGTAAAATCGGCATCCATTTAAGCATTAAAAGTAATAATTGACTATCAGGATGAACCCGAAAATCGTATGAATCAAACCGAATTATAGTACCTGAAATCTGCAAATATAATAATCATCCCCAAAAATAGCACGCATAGATTCAACAGGTTTTCTCCTCGGATTTCTCGGATGAAATACAACGCTCAAATTGACTAAAGCCTTAATCCGGTCCGGCCGGAGAAGGCAGAAGTACCAGGCAATAACAGCCCCCCAGTCGTGGCCCACCAGGAAGATCCGGTCCAGGCCCATAACATCTAACAGACCCACTAAATCACCCACTATGTGAAAGGCGGTGTAGCTGGTGGCGGAGGGCGGCGCGTCAGTGTCACCGTAGCCGCGAAGATCAGGGGCGATGGTGCGGTAGCCTCTGGAAGAAAGGGAGAGCATTTGATGGCGCCATGAATACCAGAGCTCCGGGAAACCGTGGAGGAATAGGATTGCAGGGCCTTGACCTATTTCTGCAACGTGCATATTTATTCCGTTTACATGGATTGTTTTGTGTTGAATTTTGTCCATTGTTTCTGCTTCTTGCTCTTCTCCAGTGAAGGGTAGGGTTGGGGGCCTACGACAGTTAAGCTTTAGTTACAAAGATGGTTTACAAAAATAGCATAATACGGCCGTTCTGAAAGATACCCAGTACCCAGGGTGATAGTTCTCTGAGTGCCGTGATGAATTTATTGATTTTTATTTTTTACACACTAATTATTAACATTTCTCTACCCAAAATAAAATTTAAAAAAAAAAAAAGGAGGAGAGAATAAAACAATGGAAGAAAACTAATAAGATCAAAATTTAAGAATGTGTTTGATTACATTTATTTTTCATGAAAAATATCAGTTTTCTATCTAAATTTCTACTTGGGGTGTTTGATTGCTATTTTTTCATGAAAAATATTTTTCAACTTTTAAAAATATGCCTAATTTTCTTTGTTTCTAAGAAGAGTGTGTTTGATTGATATGAAAAATATCACCCAGAAAAGAAAATGTTTTCCTTGTTTTGAGGAAAATAAAAATCACCTCCACCCAAGGAAAATATTTTCCTTAAAAACAAAGAAAATTAGGCATATTTTCAAAAGTTGAAAAATGTTTTCCATGAAAAAAATAGCAATCAAATACTCCAAGTTGAAATTTGGGTGGAAAACTAATATTTTTCATAGAAAATAAATGTAATCAAACACACCCTAAATGTGTATTTCACTATAATAATGATCCTATATTTTCTCCAGTGGGGACACATCTATTGGCAGGGTGCCTGCCGCATTTCTCTAGCATCTCTCTCCCACAAAAAGAATTTTGCTAGAAATCTTGGGTCCCCTAAAAATCCTGGGCCACAGGGTAAGTGGCTTAACCCTAACAAAAATTCATCCAAAAAGCGAAAGTGGACATTAAATATACTAATACATTTAAAGATTCTATTTCATAAATCATATATTATCGTGTTTGATACATATTAATGTAAAAATGAGAATGAAAAATATAGCCATTACGGACCCCACACAAGGGATAGAAAGTCAAATGTGATGATTTGATGTGATAGATAACGATCATATTTTTCATTTTAATGCGCAAATAATAGGAAACAAGCGAGGGCTAAGTTTACTCATTCAAAAATCAAAATTTTTTATTAATTAATGTATTTAAAAATTAATTAATTTACCAACACAATTTCGAGCCCTACATTATTTCACCCTCAATTCTCCCTCTCTCTATTCTCACCTCTCTGTCGGAAGTCTCTAACTATTCTCGCCTCTCTCTTTGTTGAAAATAACGCTGTCGGAGACGGCTCCATTTGTTAGCACGATACTAGTAAGCCAGAGCTTCGGGAGGAGCTTCCTTCAAGTGGGTGCGATATAATATGATGATTTTGTTATTTTGACCGATAAATTGGGATTATTATTATACATCAAAAGCTTGAGAACGAGAGATTTGCTTTGTAAACGTTGGAGAGAGGAACGAGATGCCATGGAAGTGCCTCTGCCTCTGCAGTTTCAGAGTCCAAAAGAATAGGCTATGCCAACGGTGTACACGGACCAATGTTAAAAACTGAACCCAAACTGATCCGGCTAGATTTGACCCAAACACTTCTGATTTGTTAGGTGTCGACAGATATGGTGTTAGTGGAGGCTCTTGGTGATTTATTTGTTGATTTGGAGAGGTGATGGTGGTGTTGCAGTGGGTTAATCTAGCAGGCAAAAGAGAGGACACATGGGCAGTGCTTTTGGGGGGTTCTTTTTGTGGTTTGGAAATTGAGGTGGTAGTGGTGTGACGGCTGTTATGGCGATGGTAATGATAGTGTTTGCGGTGGTGGCGAAGGTGAAAGCGGTGGTGTGGTGTTGGTGGTTACAGTTGTCGTAACTTTATGGTATCAGTTTGTGACCAACTGTTTGGGGGGGGCAGTGAGGTGATGGTTGTGTTGTTGGCTGTGATGGTGAGGCCGAGGTAGTGATGGCAATACTCAGTTTGGCTCTTTAACCCATGAGCTTGTGTTTTTTAAAAAAAAAAATTGCACCTTTTTTTTAAAATTTTTTTTTCATATTTTTGGACGAGCCCAAGCCGCCCACGAGCGGCCGAGCCAACGAGCCGCTCGGCCCGTTTGACATCCCTAGGTCGAGGCAATGGTCGTGGGTTGTTGGCTGATTTTTTTTTTTTTTTTTTTTTTGACAACTATTATGGTTTTGCAAGACCTGTTGGTGGTAATGATCATAGTGACGATGGTTGTAGGTGGGATGAGATTGGATTGGATTGTGGCCAATTATTTGGTTGATTGTGACTAATAATTGGTTGATTTGTAATATGTGACTTAAAAATTGTGACTGTGACTCATAAGTGATTAAATTGTGACCAAAAAATTAATCGTGATCAATTAATCTAATAATTTGCAATCAATAAATGAGTTGTAATCAATAAAAGTTTTGATTTTGTGATCGACGAATAATATGTGACTTATAAAATTTATGATTCGTGATCGAAAAATAATATGTGACTTATATAATTTTTGATTTGTGATCAAAAAATAATTTGTGACCAATAATTTAATGAGTTGTGACTAAAAATTAATCTGTGAATAATTAATTTTTTGATTTGTGACTGATAAATAAAAATGTAACCAGCAAAATTTTTGAATTGTGATCATAAAATAATTTGTGACATAAAATTTTTGATTTATGACCAAAAAAATAAGTGACTAATTAAATTGTATGTGACCTAAATATATTTAATTAATAGAATAATTAATTATTTTATTAAATCATAAAATAAATTTTAATAAAAATCTGATATTTGAAGTTTGAAATTTGTTTTCTTGATTTTGAAATGTGTAAAAATTTCTCCGAAGGAAAAATGCTAGCTGTTGACATATAAAAATTCAGCCCAAATCGAACGGCTCAAGGAATGAAGCCTAATTGGAGGATCCCCAAATCAGATAGCCCAAAGAACGAAGCCCAATCAAACAATTTAAGATGAAGGCCCAAATAGGGAGGCCCAAGAACGAGGTAACGCCATCGCCCAAGTTTGCAAGTCGCCTAGAATCTGGGCGAATGGAGTGCCATGCAGTCGCCCAGAGGTTTTACTCTATTCTCGCCCAGACCTTCAAGTCGCCCAAGGTTTTAGCAAACATAAAGTGTTGTGGTTATCAA